AAAAAAAAAAAAAAAAAAACAACACACACACACACACCTACCTGAAAATGTTGGCAGCGGAGAATAATCCCTCTGATATAAGCATTGGATCCCAAGTGTCCCAATCTTCTCTTCGTCTGTCTCGAGCTGAAACATTAGCAGCCACTTCCTTTTGAACCTGAAAAACAAAGAAGAAATGCAATTTTAAATCAATTTACTGTGTCTTGTAGGGCAGAATTATCTCAAAAATCTTTTTTTATATAATTTCAATGCGTAATGATAACAGTTATTCATAAAATTTTATATCATAAGCATCTTATTGCATTAAGAGATAATAGAATTATCAAATTTATTTATTTACTTAACATAAAAAACAGTTAAAAACTGTCTGTGATGTATTATGAAGAGAAGTGTATTCTGTCCTGCTTTACTAAATTCTGGGATCCCTACCCTAACTAATGTACAAGATGAATTATGAATACGGAAGGAAATGAGTGTTTTTTTAACAAGAGTTGGTAAGAAAACATTTACTGCCATGAAATAAAAACTATTTGCAAATCAGCTTCAGATTGTGGCTATTATCCCTAATTGTGCCCTTTATGAAGGAATCGACCTTCTGTTGTGAGAACATGGAGAATCATAATTTGAATAACTATGTTTCCCAATGAACTCTGGAAAATGTGCTCAGATAAATTACAATTATGTCCAGAAGCAAAATAAGGGACTATCTCAGTATATGCTCAAAGGATAAGGGCAGCTGGAAGAAAAGCCTGGTCAAGATGGGGGGTCATTAACCTAGAAACTGAGGTACAATACTACTTACAGGCATATTTAGTCTTTTAGAATTATACAGTTAAAATGGTAACTAATACATTATCTTTGTTGAAATTAATATTACCTTTCTTTTTGATGCTAGATATAATCTCTAATTGTATAGGAACAGTTATGCAGCAGAAAAGATTTTACTAGCTACTTAAACTTGTGTATTGATTTTTAATGTTTAATGTCATCTAGCAATGTGATGTAAAATAAAGTAAGTTACATGTTTTGTGTGTGAATTTTTTATAGTGAGCTGTTGATAGTGACACCTGATGAATATGATGAGTACATAAAAAAGTGTTACATTTATAGACATTGGAATTTGCTAAAAATATGTTCCCATTCTGAAGTATTTTTGACAAAAACCTGTGATTTATAAATCAAGAGGTAAAATTCCTAGCTTAATCTGATATTGTACTACAAGCTGTTTCTTCATTTTGAATTGTTGGCTGTTAGGCAGAGTTTGAAAAGCAATTGACTATTGTAATTGTGGCCTATGTTACAATATGAATATCGTACATTTTATCCACTTCGTAAAAATTCCAATGAACTATAATTTTTAAAAAAATTGACTATTTGTCCAGAAAAAGGTTACATACAGGTTAATAATAGTTAGGAGGAGGCATGGACTATTTCTAATATTAATTCTATTATGAGAATGATTATTGTTGTTAATAGTGAGCCATCAATTATTAAAACTCTTGTATTGTAATAACTAGTGGGCAGATTTTGATGAGCTAAAACATTGCCAAAAATGAACATTAAAATGCTCTTAAAATATTTTAAAAATGCCTTTAAGCAGAGAAAAGTGACATAAAAGATGTGATCAGAACCACTTCAGATGAACAACTGAATCCGGATTCATTACTGATGTAATCGAGGCATCTTCTGTTTGTTCAAGTGCACTCAGCTTGCAAACTTTTGGTTGGACTGTTATCTAACAAGAAATATCTGTCTTTAGTTATGCCAAAATTAGATTACCTGTTAATGGTGCTGATAAGTGTCATAGAAACCTTACATTACATACAATGGTTGACATTACAATTTCTGAGCGAAGAAATTGAATAAGTTACTCATGAATTCTGTGGAGAACATTTTTCGCTTCTCATAAATACGCAAGTACCATTAAAATGGTATTAAAATCAATGAAATCTGTGAAAAATGCATTATAAATGATGGGAAAAGGTAAAAAATGATTTGTTAGCCAAAACCGATGAAAAATGCAAAATAATGATATATAAAAATATGTCATTTCCTTTTGTCATAACACAAAATTATTGTGTATACTAAAAGGCATTGTTCTAAAGTAAAATGAAGATATCAATGACATTTCATTAAAATCCTCCCTCTAGTAATAACTCTATTTATGATTCTGATCTCAGGTTTATAGAAATTGACTTTAGACAATCAAAGTGAATAAAATATCACTAATATTTACATTAAGCTGCAGTAATCATTACAATTCAAAAATTAAATAACATTCAGAATTTGTGTCCTTTCAAAAGAATAAGTAATGTAAGAATACCTGGTAATAGGCAACAACTCTAAGTGCCACTGTAGCAACGTATAATGAGTTGGTAACAAAGTCAATGACATTCCACATATCATTGACATATTCTTCTAATCCGACATCCCAAAGTTGCTTTACTTCACTCCATATAAGACCTATCAAAAGGAATAGTTATAGTTAAAATTGGCTATTGAATCAATGAGTCACACATTACACACAAGAATATTAAAAATTCATTTCAATGAATATATTGAATAGTACTCAAAAGCTCAATATAGTAATATCCCTATTTCTTTCATTTCAATAAATATTCTAAAATTCCATTGATTAATGTGTTACTAATTCAGTAATTTACATACCACAAACCCACGCCAAGATGAAACATTCTATTATGGACGGTGCAGCACCACGTTTTTCTGTCAAATCAATTGGTTGCTCTGATGCAATATCCTTTTCTTTGCTGAACCAGTTTCCAATTACACTTTCGATGCGTTGTGATGCCAAAATCAGTAGAACTAGAGGAAAGATACTTTTGCTGAAGCTACATTTTATATCTACTACCTAATAAATTATCTCATTATTTCATGCAAGAACCACCACTAAATTTCTGTCAGATGAAATTATTTTGTTGCATCAAAGTATAGAATCAAATGTTGACACACAACTGAAAATTAACTGATACTGTTTTAATGAGGGTATAACATGAGAAATGATTTTTTGAAAATCAATTTCTGCCATAAAATACTGATTCAAAATATCATTAAATATCATAAAATGGGTATTGCATTCAGAGATATATATTTTTACACTCGGTTACTTACATAAAAAAGTGAAATATGATGCTGAATGACAAATGAATTTGATGAATGGTTTCCGCATGGTTTGTCCCAGTCGTGAGTGAGGTAATAACACATACATCACTGAGAACAACGGGAACATACAACCAATGCGAACAATTTCTAGGGCTTGTAGTACCATGTTCTTGCGTCGGAAACCGGGCAGACCCTCGTACCAGATGGAAGCCAGTAGTTGTTGCACATTGGAATGTGCAACAAACTACAAAAAACATGATGAATTAGTTACAGCAGGTGTATTTGAAAAAAACATAAATGAAATAATGCACAGAAATAAAATGTTATTGGTGTTTACTTATTTAACACCAAAAATTAGTTACAAATACCTGTGATGTAAAGGCAAATTTCAAAGAGGGCTTTATTTTGTCATGAAATGATCGAATGTCATTGCAAGGAATCTGTAAAATCAGCTTCATCATCCAGTTTTGATGAAGAACAACAATACTTCAAGCTTTTATTTACAAACAGGCTATTACTTGCTTGAATTTTGATTTCCTGTTATTAAAAAGGCAGTGAATATTTAAAAACATTTAAAGATAACAAACCTAAAAAAAAAAAAATTCCAGTTGAAATAAGAAACTTAGTCTGAGGGAATAAAGTGCAGCAAGATAAAAATGGCAACAATCCTGACAATGAGACTATTATTGAACATAACAAACCAGAATTAAACTAGTGGTGCTTCAGAATGGCATAAACTTTCTCCCATAAGTTAGTTTTCTGATCTCTTTAGTCTGTGCTAGCTTTTTGGTCTCACCCATTTTGCAGTTGCCATCTACAAGTGCCTATTTTTTTTCTTCTTTCTTTAACATTTTCACATTTTCTCCATTGTATTAAAAAATGAAGGGAAAAACTTAGTCCTATAAGCTCATTTTCATTGAATAATTTGGAGCCATTTTAAGCCAAAGTTGTGGGAGAATTTCTGAAAATACAAATATTTAAGCTCACTTTTATCAAAAATTTTCGAGTTTTTGAGAAACTCCATAAGAAATTCTTTCAAGCAATTGTAATAACAAATGCGATAATATACAAAAAATGCCCAAAATGAAAATATTAACAACATGACAAATATTTAAAAAGAAATACATTTATATAATTCTTGAAAACAATTGAAAACATTAATCACAATATCACACTATTCAGTGCATTTATCACTATCCGTACAAAAAATTTAAAGACAAAAATTGGAGCCTTTTCCTAGGAAAAGGCGGAAATCAAGTCGTGTGAAGCGTTTCTGAAAATGCGTAAGATTGAACCCATTTTTCAGAATACCTACTTTTGATTTTTCGAGAAACTTCGTTGGAAATTATTTGAAGCACTTCTACTCACAAATGCAATAGCCGGTCAAGTAAATATTAACAAAGTGAAAGATACATAAAAAAATACCATTTTGTAAATTTTGAAAAACAAAAGAATGCCTTCAAATGGCATTTATGAAATCATATACAGATTATTTAACATTATCTGTTCAAAAATATAGAAGAAAAATGTTGAGTCGTTTTTGAGAAAATCTTGTTTGAAATATTCTCCATGTTTCACACAAAATTACGCAAAAACTACTACATTTTAAAAAAATGTAGATGATGTCAATAAAAGAACTAATTGTGGAAAACAATTTTCATTAAAAAAATACGCCGAAAAAATTCAATTTTTTGTAATTTCTGAAATTTTAGAGTTAACAGAGAAAAATCAGTACTATGCCATCTTTAGAGTGATATTTCACTCTATTCTTACAAGAAATGTAAAGAAAATATTTGCAGCTATTCTTGAGAAAATGTTAATAATGTCCCCAAAATTTAAGAATGATTTTGAAACTCGCAGAGCCTCAAGTTAGATCAGATCAATCTGGGATTATTAATCTTGGAAAAAATTCTACGAATAGTTTAGGCGCAGTGTTAATTACAGACAAACGGACGTTTTCAAGAAAGAAAGAAAGAAAGAAAGAAAGAAAGAAAGAAAGAAAGAAAGAAAGAAAGAAAGAAAGAAAAAACACCATTTTTTGGCATCATGGGGCCGAACGAATTGCTCGTTTTGAGGAAGGGAGAAAGTCTGTTATTCTGTTGCAGTAGCTTTCACTACATTTCTTTCACTACATTTTAAATTTAGAAAGCTGATACATAGTATGTTAAAAAAATACGTCGACTATTTGAATTGCGGGGCTCCAGTTGATTCCAGGGGAATCTACTTGATGTCGCTAGATTTGCTCAGATCTTCTGATTATGACGCTATTTTCCAATTGTCGATATCTTCATTTGTTTATTAGCAACGTGATTAGATTCAGATTTAATTAGTCAAAAAGCAGTAAACCAGTATGTGACGTATGGGGGAGAATATCATCTACGCACATTTTCTTGAGTTCCAGAATCCTTTCTCATCATTTAACTATAAATAGTTTAAAGATGAGTTAAAGTTAGAGATAAATGAATAAAAATAAAATGTAAAAAAGCGCGAGATTAGCAACATTTGAAAAACTAGACATCTTCGTTTCCGAGTTATAAAAATCATTTGCAATTGTATACGAACTGCAGATTTGACTTTTCTGCGTTGCTAACAAAATAGTAACTCGCTCTTGCCTCTACTCCTACCACCACAAGCAACAGGAGAGTTCAACAAAACGTGCTCATAGTGAAGTTGCATTTACGTCCTGGAGCAAAACAAGGGGCCATTTTGCTCAATGTATTAAAGAAACTGGACAAAAATCTGATCGAGATGGGGGTCATTGACCCGGAAGCTGAAGTACATTACTTGTTACTAACCTATTAGGTCTTTAAAAATATATACTATGCAAATGTAAACTAATATATTATATATCACTGTTTTGTTAAAATAAGCATTATTTTTCTTTTTGATGGTCAGTATAGTCTCTAATTGAATAGAAACAGTTATGTCGCAGAGAAGATTTTACTTTTAACTTAAATTTGTGCACCAACTTTAATTGTTTAATGTCATCTGGCAATGCTTTGTTAAGTAACGTACTTGTATGTGAATTTCTGGTTGTGAGCTGTTGATACTAACACTTGATGAACATAATTTCTACATGTGTTTTTAGTGAGGTGCAGTTTTTTCGTTTGGCGGATTTCAAAATGAATGACCTGAAAGAGCAATGATTTGCTGTGAAATTTTGTGTTAAACTAGGAAAATCTGCGACAGAAACTTTCACTATGCTTAACACGACTTAGGCCTTATTTACAATGTAAACTTAAACATAACGTAATGTCGTAAATTTAGCAGTAAAATTTACACGTAAAAACACGCATTCACAATGACGAACATAAGCTGGAACGTAAGTTTTGTCCGAGCCAACAGATTTCAAAGTATTGAAGCTTGATCGATTTTCGATTTGTTTATAACATGTTGCGTATTTCCACTAAGTTTCTACCACCATGGAAAGACATTTCCACCATGTTTCTAGCATGGTGGAAAGACCTTTCCACCATGATTTCTAGCCTTTTCTTCGATTTTCCTATCGATTTGTCTTTATATATAAAAGCAAATAGCTGTTGTATTAGTGCTCGCATTTCCTTTACTTTATAAACAACGATTCTCTTCTACCAAAATCGTTGAACGTAATTTCGCCACGTCAAGTTAAAGTCACAAGCAAAATTGCCCAAATTCTTTCTTTGAATTTACTAACTCGCGTCAAAACGACGAAAATGACATAATCATAGACTACCTGAACACAATCCATGTGTGTTTCTTTCATGCTGCTCTCTGATTGGTCTTCGGTAGCATTCCGACGTAAACTTATCGTAAAAGCTTGGTGCTTGTGAACTCGTAAGTTCACGGCTTTACGTCTACGGTTACGTCAAGGCATTGTGAATGGTCTTACTTAATAACTCATTTGTAGGTTTTGTTGTTATGTTTACGTTTAAGTTTGCATTGTGAATGAAGCTTTTTATGGAGTGTTGTTATGAAGCGTACGGATATTTCAAGTGACATGAACGTTTTAAAGACAGTGGCGGCTCGTACTTAGGTTGCATGGTTGCACAACTCCCAGATAATCAAATAAGATCTCATAATATCTTAAGAATGTACATTTTACTTTTAATGACATTCAATATGCAAGATATTGCAGCAATATTGTTTATGAAAGTATTTTGAAATCAAAGAGCGTCCAACTGCCGCTCACTCCGGTGCCTTGTCGGGTATTGCACAGTGCTCTTGGATGTGTTACAGGGTTTGCTGCATTAACTATTTGGTCCTTCGATTTAACATGGCAAACATAGACCTTTTTGGTTGGGCAAACAAGGCGGGTTGCGCTGTCAAGTGCTGCGCGCCTCCGAAGGAGTCTCCGGGGAATCTCAATATTCTGTCTTCGTCCGACTCGTAGCAAAGTAATATTAGGAATTTTGCTTATTATTAAAAGTACACAGGTTCAGTCAACGATTTTGACGGCATTTAATGTATTATTTATGATATTTATATAATTTGTTTTTATTTCATATTAGGCTTATTGATTTGAAAAGTAGCCTTGATAAATTCTGTATGTTAAGTTGGCCGTTCTGGAAGGAAGTCCCTTTCTCGGTAGATAATACTTCCGCTTGCAGTAGCCTCATTTGGAGAACGCTGGTAGGAATGCGTGCGCGTGCGTGTGTGTGTGGAAGGATCTTTATTATAAAATATTCCAGGGTAGTGGAATTTCCGAAGTAAAATAATTTTATTTGTGTGAAACTTGTAGTGCAATGTGTTATTGTCGAACTTAAGGGCCTAGTGAAAATAAGAGAGACCACGCGCGTGGGAGGTGTATATTCCTGAACGGACACGACAACAATTATGAAAGTAATGTTTCAATATAGACTTTCATTTAACTTGCTTTTAATTTGAATTGCGTACATTTTTATTATTTATTCGTATTTTGAATTTTGCAAAGTACATTTCCGTCATTCGGTGGAGGAGCAACCTCCAGGTTGTTGGTGCACCAGCCGCCACTGTTTAAAGATTGTCGAATGTCCATTGAAGATGAGTGTTCTGGATATCCTTCCACGTCAACTGACGACACACAAGTCGACAAAATCAATACCCTTTTGCGAACAAATCGACGTCTGAGTGTCAGGTGGCTTGCTGAAGAGTGTGGGATATCAGTTTCAAGAGCTTTTGATTGTGGAATTGAAGATGTACCGCGTTGCTGCAAAATGTGTGCTGCGTCTGATGACGGAGGAACAAAATGCTCAACATACCCATCTTTGTCAGGAACTGCTTGATCGT